GATTAATCGTTTCCAAACATAAAGGTTTTTGTTTACGTAATATATATGTGTGTACTGTGTATATTTATTATGTATATATAAATACACACACACATGCATGTATATATTTATAACAAGTTTGTTATGTTTATATATTAATTTGTTTATATATAATATAAATTATATGAATATAATTATATAGATGCAAATACAGGTAAATATTTTCAATATATATACTGTATATGTGTGTATTTATATATACACATAATAAATATACACACTACATACATATATTATGTATACAAAAACTGTTATTTTGGATGCGATTAATCGTGATTAATCGTTTGACAGCACTAATATATATATATATATATATATTCCCAAAGAAGTGCAAATTAGCATACTAAAAAAGAGTACTTATTTTGGCATAATATACTTAAAAAATTTACTTAAGTGAATGTCATTTTTAAGGACACTTAAATGCATGTTAACTATGAAAATGTTTTATGTTTATCTTATACACAATGCAATTAGCTGAACTTTAGTGCTTTTATGACCCACTTAAATAGGAAACTTTAAATGTAATATGGAATAACACACTATTTATAATTATAATCAAGTACTTTACATGTGCTTTAGTATGTTAGTCAACACATCAAAATAAGTGTACTTCTTTAAAGCATGTCAAACTATTAAAACTATAAATAATGATTTAAAATGTACTTTAAAGTAGAACTTTTACTTTGACATTATTACAAAAAAGTCATGAAAATCTACTCTCTTCATTGGCCTTTTATTTAATTAATATTATAGTATCTGCAAGTACAGTTTTTTAAAATATACTTTTAAGATTTGAAGTAAACTACAAATGCACATTCAACTCAGTTAAATGCATTTCTTTTTCATGTTATACTGCCGTAGATCAGCTGTTTAATCAGGGACTGTAATCAGTGTACAGAAGTCAGAATATGCTGTCACATGGTTCAATAATGCAGTGATTGCTAACAGAACTTTAGGGAGCGTGTTCTAGCAGAATTATGTGTTTTAGGATACAGTTAATGTTTTTCTCAGAATTCTCTGAAGTGGAGTCAGAGGACGATCTTTGTGGGTCTCGAACATCTTTGCAACGCAACGGCAACGACTCCGCAATCACTCTTCAGCGCAGCAACACCACAGCACATGTGTGCTGGCATCGCAACACCAGTGTTTCCAAGATGGACTTCAGCATCGCCATAGAGGTACCAGTCCTACATCTGCTCATCTCTATGTTTGAATACGAAAATGTGTAATACAGTTCGGTCGCTGTGCCTGACAGAACCAGCTCTCAGGAAATCTGCTCCGAAAGTTTAAAAACAGTAACGGCTGGCAGAAACTCTGGGTGGTTTTCACCAATTTCACCCTGTTCTTCTACAAAACACATGAGGTAAAACGCAGACAGACACACACACACACACACACACTGTCATATCCTCTCGCGCACGATGTGTTTACTCTGTCAGATGTGTGTGAAATGTCTGGACTCACACTCATTTCTCTGTTGACTGTTCTCTCTGTAAGGATGAGTATCCGTTGGCCAGTCTGCCGTTGTTGGGTTACTCGGTAACACATGCCGGCGAGTCAGAAAACATCCATAGAGATCACGTCTTCAAACTGCATTTCAAATCTCACATCTACTACTTCAGAACAGAGAGTGAATACTTTTTCGAAAGGTACAGAAAAATTAATTATTCCACCAAGAGATACAGTAAACAACACTGAAAACAGACCAACTAAAAAAATACTCTCAAATACTCAATTTGTTACAGCCTAATTTATTTGTTTTTCTCAAATTATATTCAAATTAAATTTTAATTTATTTAATATTTATTTTTTATTTGTTTTATTGAGAGTGTTATTTGCTTTTAGACAATCTGGAAGAAAAAAAAAAAGAAGTTTAAACCGGAAACTGTAATTTTCAATTTGACCAATATAAAAATGCACTTTGTCTTTTGCAAGGTAAATTAAAGCAATAAGCCCTGTGAAGCCGTGGTTTACAGTGAATTTATAACGCCCCTTAGCTGTTATAAATTCACTGTAAACCACGGCTTCACGGGGCTTATTGCTTTTATAAAATGGTTATTCCACATACGTAGTAAGGTTTCACAAAATAAAACAGAGCAAATAAAGTGTAATGATATTAATAAAAACAGTATTCTTTCACCAAACAATGTAGTTGCTCAGAATCAGTTGTGGTTGCAACAAAGTGCTTGCCGAGCAACACACAGAAGTAAACAAAGGTGTGTGTTTGTAGAGTAATTTACAACAGCTTCGAACACGGCTCAACCAATCAGAATCAAGGACCGGAACTATCCGTTTTATAAGTGACCCTTAATGTTATAACGTGTTGTTGTATAGTGAGATTTTCATGTCTGTGTAGATGGATGAAGGTGATCAGAAGTGCTACAGTCTCTGCCAGCAGAACCCGCTATCGGAACCGGACAGAACTGGACTGAACCACGTAGAACCTGCCATGTGAACCGGACCGAACCAGGCTGAACCCCACAGAAACTGCCATCCGACCTGGACAGAAAAAAACAACCAACAAACTAACAGACCAGTGCAGGCATATAGGGAGCAACCATCTCAGTGTGTGTGTGTGTGTGTGTGTGTTTGTGTGTGCGCGCGCATGCGTGCGTGCGTGTGTGCGCTTTTATGACAACGTCACTTTTTTGTGACTGATTTTTTTAAATAGCAGTGCTACATAGTATGGCATTAAAGGGGAATGTCGCCTTTTCACTTCTGAGCTTTTTACAAGACACTTCAGTTCAAATATCAGCCTCAGGCGAGTTTTATTCCTATTATTTGTATTTTTGCTGAATTATTTGTGTGTAAGAACCGAACGAATGTGTAAGGTGCTTAGACTACATCAGTTACATTAAATAAAGCTTTATTATAAAGAGAGTAAAACAGCAAATGATAGAAGATTTCACACACCTGGAGAAGTAGCAAGATCACCATTGTGCCCTTAAGGACAGGTGCTGCTGGGAGATTTTCACAACTGCTGTTGTTTGCATTTTGGATAAAAGGTGCTTTCAAATCCTTAGTGAGATTTTCACAAAAACTGCATTATGGGTTTCATAAAATATTCCAAGGTGCTAGTGTATATTCACAGGATGCGTTAATGTTGGGTGTGAATAGGACATAAGGTTAACTGAGGTGTATTATTAGGCCTATTTATAACGTGTTGACATACTGAAGTCATTATCTTGAGAAACTGAAAGGGAAAGTGTTAATAAAGGCTCAGAGATGAAGAGAGGTGGAATTCCCCTTTAAACTCATGGCATTCCTCATAAACACACAGGTGCTTTTTAATGTTTGCATTTTGTCCACAAGTGTAAAAAAACATCATGTATGAGCATTCCAACCCGATCTCATGAAAGTGCGTATAAATAGTACGCCAAATAAAAACGAAAACTCGTGGTATTGATACGCAAAAATGGACTTTGGCGTTTATATGCTACGCGATATTAGGGTTGTGGGGTAGATGCGTATCATATGTACGCGAAAACTGCGTATCATATGCACGCCAACAAATTTCGTATCATATGCACGCGAAAACTGCGTATTATATGCACGCCAAACACATGCGTATCATATGCATGCCAAAGTCCATTTTTGCGTATCAATACCACGAGTTT